ATGTTTTTTAAAAAAAAAAAATAAATAAAGAGTAAATCGTTTCCAGTCATGCTTAATGGGTTTTCTAATAGAATTGTAAAATTAGACTATGAGATGTGTGCAAGGTTATATTACATATTTGAATTCGTTCAAATTACTTGGTAGGGTGTCTTCTATTTTTACTTATATCATTATCCTTATTAGTTTTACAAAACCAAAAAGTGACCCGAGGCTAACCAAGATCAAAGGAGAAAAGAAGTAGTCATAATTGATGAGATATAGCTGAACTTGAACATATTGGACCTGAAGAAGAGAAACTCAGAAATCTGACAGGTGATTTCATACTTGTGAAGTAAGTTACTACTGTGATTCTTTAGATTCTAGAATTTGATACTAATAAAGAGGCATTTCATGTGGGTAGATTTAAGTTGATCATAAAGAAGGAATTCTTTTTTCTTTTTTCTCTCTCTTTCACAAATAAGTCTAAAGATGCAGTAGGATTTCTTGAGAGGTATTTAACTTTCTGGCTATTGAAAGCAATCAGTCAAATTATAAATGACAAAGTGTCAGACATTTACTGGAGATAATACCTTCATGGATTCTTTTAATAAATATTAAACTCATAATTCTGTAATATCACTTTTCTACTGTTAAATTATGCACATATATTTATGTACATATATGTACCTCTACTGTATACATTTTAATTTGACAAGCAAATCCACAGGGGAATCAAGACTCAAACTGTCATAGAAATGAATATATCTTGAAAGGTCTTCAGAAAATGTAGTTTTGAAAGACTTGTGTTATGGAAGCTTGCAAGTTATATTTCTTTATTATCTTACTTGAGCCCCTCACTAGACTCCTATTTGAAGACAAGTCTATAGGAAATTGGGGAGAGGTAGGATAGACTTAACTAACAAGAAACATGTTTCTCTTGGCAAATTTGTAACAACAACAATATCCTTGGCCTTTTGTTTCAGTTGCTTTTCAGCCAATGAGGAATGGCCAGGTCAGGGGTGGGATGAATGTTAACCAATGAAATGAAATGGTTATTGATATCAGAGAAATGAAAACACAGATGTGGAAGGTTTGAATGACTAGGGTAAGGTTGGAAGAGTACCAGTCTTTGAAATGCCAAGTGGAATCTGAAATTATTCAATATGATCAAATATGGAGCACAAGGATAGAAAAGTGGCAAATTCAGGAGGCCTTTCACTTGAGACAAATTTTATGGCCTCACAAAGTGTCATCACATACTGAGCCAAGAATGATTCATATGTGCATCTCTGTATGAGACTTGTCAGCAGGTGTTCGAAGTATAAAGTAAGGAGGTAGATGGCAAAGTAAATTATAAGAGGTATAATCTGAAAGTGTCAAGATTTAGGATGGCTTTCTACCATTTTTTGTAATAACCCATTCACAGCATTGCTCTTCCACTCACAATTTTGAATATAAAAGACAAATTGACTATATAAGTCTATATTTCCAAGGAAACAAACCACTCAGTGAGGTAAGATAACTGAATTAACTGAATTTAACAAAAAAAAAAAAAAAAAAAAAAACTGGTAGAAAATGAAGTTTCTATTCAAACAGTAGAATTCAACAAGTATTTTGGTTCTAAAGATATATAGATCTTATTCAATAAATTTCTTTCTTCTCAGAAAGTTTACATCTTGTAAAGTTATAGCAAATATATAAAGCTACCAATTAGATGCAAAGGATTTGATTTATACATATAGGTTACTGACAGTATAGATTTTTTAAAAAAGTGTTTTGTGAGACTCCCAACAATGGGAGTGGGTGTATCTCTGATGTTTTTGTCTGATCTTGGGACTTTTTTCCTCCTTTTGGGGTGCCTTGTCCAGCCTCAATATGAGGGCCTTGGACATTTCTTAATGTATTCTGTTTTGTTCTGTTTGGTGGTTGTCTCTTGGAGACTCTATTATGAAGAAGATATGGACTGCAAGTAGATCTGGAGAAATGTGAAGTGTGTGTGTGTGTGTGTGTGTGTGTGTAGGGAGGCTAGGCACAGAGGGAGGGGAAACTGTGGTGGGATGTATTGAATGAGAGAAGAAAATATTTTCAATAAAACGTTATTCTTATAAGGACTACATTAGTTTCTGTGTAAATGTACAGTTAACATATGCTGCCATGAACTGGTTTGGTTATAGTCAAAAAGGGAATTATTTCATATTGTATACTTAACTATCCTGTTTCTGTGATGGCCAAATCAGAGTAGTGTTAGAATTGAGAAGAACACAAAATTCTGTCCCTTTGGACTTAATTTAAATGGAGCTATTAACCATGACTCTATGACATGGCTTCATTACAGAAATGGTTGCTGGCAGGCTGCTGGTAGCAGGGAGGTTAAAAGAGGAAAATATGTCCTCCTAAAACATGGGAAAATTTTGGGTGGTGTATTCTTTCTATGGAGAGAGCACTAAGCTTGAAATGGATTCTTAGAGAAATCTGAGTCAGACAAAAACGGTTAAGGAACTTTGAAGGATCATATCTCAGAAAAACCAAATAGAGTGGTAGGCTAAGTAAAAAACAAAAACAAAACAAAACAAAAAACTGAGCATGTGACTTCACATATGTGCATGCCTCTGTACCTGACAATGTGTGACATTGTATGGTATAGTGAATACAGGAATGAAGAATGATGTGTACTTTGGACAGTGCATTAAATGAGCAGAAATGGAATGTATTTTCTACCAATAGAAATCACTTTGTAATTTGAGGTCAAGTTATTTTAATTTATACTTAAAATGACTTTGTGTTGAAGGCCACAGGGTACTTTGTACTAAAATGTAAGTTTGCAAATTGTTGAGAATCTTTAACTGTGAATTTCATCAATGAAAGGCAATTGTTCCACTTTAGGTAAATTTACACTTAAATTACAAAGGAAAGGACTGAATTTAGTGAGGGGCTTCCTCCTATTAATAGCATTTTTGTTTTGTTTTCATAGACTTTACTACTTTTTCTCACACGAGGAAGCCATGTAGGGATTACATATGTGGGCTTTTTACAGGATTAGCTAGATCAGCTCAGTAAGACCAGGTCTTTTAGCTACCTGACAGCGTGTATGTTGAATGAATTGCTCAGTGATTTCATTCGTCTTTGGTATTATATCAAGAAACACCCCTAGGATATTGTGTAAGTGGCCTTCAAATCCAGGTATGCAGTTGTTGTAGAGTTCCTGTTGAATTTCTACTGATGCCTAAAAAAATATACTACTATAAATGACAAATCTCCATGAGGTCTGACATCATGAGGCTCATGAATACTCAATTATGGTAGGGTGCTGTGAATTAGTGTCCCTTAGAATTTTTGGATGTGCTTTGTCTTTACAAAGTGTTAACTTTAAAGTCTATTTTTTATTAGCCAAGGGATTTAGCAGCTTTCTTCCATATGACAGCATTTGCAATTATAATTAAGAAATGTATTAAAACTAGAGTGAATTAATATGGAAAATGGATGGTGGCTCGGGACTACATTTCACAAACTAGGTGTGAAAGAATAACTCAGCTTGAGAAAAGGGAGGCAGATTCCAAAGCAAGAATGAAAATGTGAAAATATTCTAGGAATGCCCATGCAAAGCTGAACTTTCATCACAGTGCACAGAAGTGATGAATGGAATGATGCAAAGCATCACCATGGTCCTGTGCACACACCATTGCTTCTTTAGGATGCATTTGCTCTGTCAGTCACTATTTTTATATCACCAAGGAGATGCCTGAAGCAAACATTACTGTATGGAATATTCAAAAGATGACATCAAAATCCTTTGGAATCTACAAATTTGAGCCTTAATTTCCAAAGTCGCATGTTATAGATAAGTCTGCCATGACCGATTAGAAGGCAAGCCCTGCCAGTTTCCTCAGGGGTGAAGCAGCAGTTTTAATCCCTAACGGGATAGGAATAGATGCTTTCTTTTTTATGAACTCCAGATGACATACAGTTTGTCTTACAGCCACAGAAAGGACAGAAATAAGCTGATTGAGGTATGGTTGATTTAGTTGTGATATTTTTGCAACTTCAGGGTATAGTATAGCAAAAAAGTATGAATTCTTTACAAAAGGTATTAACATTCTTTGTACTCTCAAGAAAATGCTTAGAACAGAGGAAGAAAATCTAAAGATGTATGCTTTAATCATCACTGAATTGCTCTTTCAAAGGTAGATAGTGTTCTTCCTTCCTTGTGATGCCAGGAGAAAACAGAAGTTCAATGTTCTTCTACATTAAATGACTTCAAAAGGCTGAAAAGCCCTTTTGAATCTGGTGATACTGCTACCAGCAACAGTGGATGGAACAGGTAGCTTTTATTAGCTTGACAGTGGCCAGCACTAAGTAACTTATACCAGCAGCTGGAAGTACTAAGATCCATGCAACAGCCATGCAGACAGGGGAGGTCTCAAGTTCAGCGATGGCAATACTTCAGAGCTCTTAAATTGGTAATTAAAAGTTCCTTCAAATAAATGGAGTGGGTTTGTGAGCATTACTCCTATCCCTCCATGTTTTGAAAATTGTCATTTTTAAATTATATTTTCATTATCCCAAGACTGCTTTTTAATTTCAATATATTTTTGGGTTTTTAATTGAAATAGCATTACCTCACTTTTCTGAATTACATCACTTTTCCTTCTCCCTTCAGCCTTTCCTGGAACCCTCTCATATCCCCTTCCACTCTCAAGCTGCAGCCTCTTTCTTTTTGATTTTTTGATTAATATATATATATATATGCATATATATGCATGTATACACACATGCATATATGTATATACATGTATGTATGTGCACATATATACATATACAACTCTGTGAGTCCACTTTTGTTATTTGTATATATGTGGTTTCAGGGCTAACAGGACAACAAATACGGGAGGAGAAATTCCTCAGTGCTTTGATACGGAAAAGTACACTTTAAGCTTTTGTTGGCAATAACTTTTCTCTTCACATGATCTTATTCTTTTTTTTTTTAATCTGTCAAGCAAACACAGAGAACAGAAGAAACTTACCTTAATTCCAAAATGCTAACGGAATTTCCTGAAGGAAATATTCTCCTTACAAAATTGAAGTCGCCAACATACACACTACCATCAGGGCCAGAAGCTAAAGCAACAGGAGCAAAGAGTTTGTTGTTGTGTGCTGGGCCATTGCAGTTAGTGCAGGCTACACTCCTTTGGTGTCCATTACCCATTATGGTTGATATGACTGGGGGCTGCTGGGAAATGAACATATTTTCTCCATTTCCTTTGTGTATGATTCCTAGACACAAGACAAAAAGGGAACACAAATTAGAAAAGTATTTGCCACACAAACATCTTATCAAAAGTTCAGTTTTCTCTCAGAGTTCAAAACAGAAGGGAGTTTTGGGTGAATCTCATTACTATCAATCTTGTTCAAATGTATAATCATAACAGACAGTGCTATAACCCTTAATCTCAGTTTGTCTTTCTGTGATGTGGGGGAATGTGAAGAGTCTTTTAATACTGATCCCAATTTTTTTTTAATAAAGTATCTGATAACTAAGTTTTAATCATTTAATCATCTCCTACTTGCTCAGCTCTGTGGATTTTATGTAACTAGTTTTTTTTTGTTTGTTTGTTTGTTTTTGGTTGGCTTTCTTCATGTCTCATACACATCTACCTGACTCCACTTTATCAGGCACAGGACAAGAGACTCTCCATTCATTTTGACATTAGCCCCAGTAAAACACAATCACAATGGCAAGTGTGCTTTTATGGAAAGGAAAAAAATCTTACTGCTATAATGCACTTCAAAGATATACTAAAGGAAATTGACTTTTCTCCTATTTTGGACCATATCTCACCATCATCATTCCAAAAACAAGAGACATTGACTTATGAAGATGCTTTTCAATCATTCTGTTTGGGTAATTACATTTCTACCCACAACTCTGACTTTCATCCCTCTTAGATGAAACTTTCTCCTGTTTGGAGTCTTTGCCTAACATGTGCTTTCTTACTAGACATTTTTACGTGGATGAGGCAGCTGCCTCAAAATGGAAAAAGGTTGGGGTTGAGGTCATTACATTTCTTGTATCTTCTACCAATGCTTCTCTTCCTCTTGTTTAAACCCATCCCATGAGTATCATTTTTGTTATGTAACTACCTAAATTGTAAATCTAGTCATTATGGTGATGATTCATTTAATTTAATTTAATTTCATTCTCTAAGCCCAAGCAATTACTAATTCCTCACCTTAACATGGCAAGAATTTTCCTGTTCCTACTCTTACTGCCTTAGTTCAGTTATCCTGCTGCAGAGATTATTAATACCTTAAATTATGTACATAATTTAATAAAGAGAGCATTCCTTACTGATGAATAAAGAGAGCATTCCTTACTGAGAAGGTATACATATTACCTTTTGGTTTTGCATTCCTGTATTTCTTCAGTTTTCTCTCTTATTACACTTTTGTTTGTATTTCAATATCTGAGCATTACAAAAAATTGTAATTGTTTTCACATTCTTCCCTTCTGTTATGATTTTGTGTGCGTTATTGCCTCTATTCCTGAATGCCCTCTTCATTTTGTCTGTGTGAGAGCTCAGTTCATGTCATCCTTAATATTCCATCCAGGCAGAATTAGTCACTCTCTTCTGTGTGTGCCCATTTTCCATAGCTCTATTGTAACACTTACCATATTGTATGATACAGTTTTTCTCACTTCTCTAGCTTCCTCATTGTAACATGAATGAACTCCTTGAAGGCACATCTTCTGTCTTACTCCTTTCTGTATTTTTAGTGCCAATCCTCATGGCCAAGTCTTTATAAGTGCTTAGCAAATGCTGAAAATAGGCTCTGAGTCTCTTGTAGTTTCCTATTCCACATCTCAATGATTTCACAAACCTGCTGTGTCTGGGCAGAAAATCCAAGGAACAAGCACTGCTGTGCTAAATGGCACAAGTCAGTCCAGAACGAGCCAGGGCAGGTAAAATATCCATGTTGTGAGAAGGCTTGCCAATGTGTCAGACTGGAGTAACTGACAGCAAATGAATAAATGCAGTTGTATTGCATGCCCTTATTTTTCCCTCTCTTGTGTCCTGCTATCTATCTCCTCACGCTGTTATTCTCCCTAACTGCTTTCTGAAATGTCTTCCTCTGTTCTCTTCCAACTCTCAGCTCTACCAAAGAAACTATTGATCATTCTGAGATAGGAACATTGCTGGTAAAAATAAATAACAACATAAAATATGTACGCCAGGGCACCAATATAAACTTATAAAGGGCCTTCCAGGAATTATGAATTCTCTCCATCATATGGTCTTTGGATTTCAAATTTAAGTATGTTTATGTTCCCTCTCAGGGTGGTTCCAGATAGCTTTTCAACACATGATTTGCAAGAGTAGCTATAAGGTTACACTCCAACAAATTGATATTTTATTACAAGATTATGAGATAACTTTAGGGTGCTACTTACTTATTATATTGTTGACAACTTTTCTTAGCCAGTAAGGATATTTCTTATGATTTAGAATAATTAATTCAATATGATTAATAGGGCTGGATTTCATTTACCTCCCCAAACATTTAATTTTAGTGTGCTCAATGTTGTAATTTTAATGAAACGGGAAGAAGTGAAGGAAACTGGAATGACAGTTATACAACATCATTGAAAAGAAATTGCCTGATGATTGTTAGCAGAATATCCAACCAATGAGAGTATGATACATTCTTTAGTAATTGAGGAAACCATTGTTTAGCATGTCAGTACCTCAGCAATTCACAATAGGTGTACTATTCAAAAATCTTTCCAATTATCGGCTTGGAAATACCAGATTTGCTATTAACATCTATTTTCACAGGTAGATCTCCATTTTTTATATCAATTTAATGGTATAGTTAACAACTGCCCTCAAAATGACATGTTATTACCAGGCTCCTGGCAATTTAAAAACTAAAGATGGCTATTCTAACCCATTCTTCGAAGCCTGCAATTCCACAACTCCCCTTTTCGATTAGAAAGCCCCATACTCCATCAAAAAAGAAGAATGATTAAAGGAAATAAAACATAAGGCAATGTACTTTCTGATTACATCTCTACAATTGATGTCTTGCTTTCATGCAAGGTACTAAAGTGCCCATGTACTGAAATTACCATTTCTGTTTAAAGCTGAAGCAATCAAAACAAAAATGGGCAAACCCCTTTTGTATTGCCCTGGAAAAATAGATCATTTTGAAGGGTGTTTTTGTTGTTTCAAGAATCTGTTTAACCTTCTATTACACAGAAGCAGGCTATACCATCTAGCAACAGTGATTTAACACCAATTCTCCTGCAAAAGGTTGTTCTGGAAATATTTTGTTTATGTTTCTGGAAGTCTTGATCAATTACTGATGCTTCTTTTCCAGTTAAATTCTGCCACACATGCTCATTTTAAAACAGGGCAATGCACACTATGTGAAGGCCAACTTCTTAAGGACTGGGTGTCTTGTATGTACTGAACAATGAAATCTCACTGAATGGGATACTTTCCTCCCCCGTGTTTTCCCCATCTCTGCTACAAAGTGATAGCCAAGTTTTCACAGCAATAAAGTAAGCACATTTTAAAACATACTACCCCTACCTTTCTGCTATCTTGCTCAAAAGTTCTGAAGCTTATAAACAAGTTTAAAATAAAATTCCCCCTGGAAGCCAGTGGGTGGTGCTTTATGCTGATTTCAAAGAAGAAACCATTTTTCAGACTTATGACCAACATGGGACATAATACACATTTCTCTTACTACTTGACTGAGAGGGTATAAACACAAACTGGGAGATATGGCAGCATGATCAATGACAGTTTACATCTTCTCTCAGTAAAACTATTTATCGACAAACTACTGGCCTATCTAGGAGGCTAAGGAAATTTGCTATTTCAGATAGGTAAAAATGTACTATTAGTACCCTGGATTGTTCTAATATATATATATATATATATATATATATATATATATATTGATATATATATATAAATATATATATCAACTTGCTCCTGGGAATCACTAGAGGATATTAGAAAAATATGCTAATCTGTGTAATGAACAATAATTTTAAAGAATTAACAGGAATAAATATGCACTCTGCAATCATCAAAGGATGTATTTGGAGGTACCCATGTTGAAAAACATGCATTTCTAGTACTTTTATTATAATGATAGTAGAAACTGTATGTGTGCATCCGGTTAAATATTTAGAGACATTTCTCCTTAAGCATTGGTTAATTGTGAGGTAAATATAATTGTGGTGCCTGAAATGACAAATGGTCTGAATACAGTGCCTATTACAAACTACCCACTGCATAATGATTTGGGAGCCAGAGCAAAACTGAGAACAGAATGGCAGCAGACATCCAATCTAATTATAGGTGTCTTTTTAACAAGTGAGAGGAAATTGGAGGAAGATGGATTCTTGTTTCTAATCTACTATCTGTCTCAGATCAAAAAGGTTGGGTGCCTAAAGAGTTAGGATTTTTCATGAGATGAGTGCAATGGGGGAATTCGGGAAGACACTGTTTTTGCCTTAATCGGTAAGAAAAGACCATCTGACCTGAGGGGGAAGAGCATTGCTATCTAAATCAGCATCCCCAACCCCATTCCCTTGCATTAATCATTCTTGCTTCTAAAACTGCCTTTGTGGGTGGCATTTTGACCTCAGAAACACCCTAAGACTCAAGGGCAAACTGAAAGGCATTGGCTTCAGATCTATTTCCTGGCAAGTGGGACCAGTTCTTGGTGAGAAACACAATGCCTCCACAAATGAGATGGTAAATGTACAAACGTCCCTTGGGGGCGAGAAGGTATCCAAAACAGTACGGCTTCTTTCTCAGAAGAAAATGATCAGAAAGGTAGAAACGGAAAGCTTTGGGTAATACAAGATATACTTTTGTTGTGATAAAATATCCCGAACATGAGTTTCGGTGATCACAGGACAAGTACAAATTTATTAAGCATCATTGAAGTGTGCACTTCAAATGGGTGAGTTGTATGGTGTATAAATTATACTTCAATCAAGCAGTTCAAAAGTCTCAGAAGTAACTTCATACCTAATTACCTAAAAAGTAATTATGGGTGAATTAGGGATGTAAGGCATGTGTGGTTCCCAAAGCCAGCTTTCTGAATAGCTCCCTTCTGTTTCAAAGTCTGTGTGAAGCAAATGATAAGAAGATACAAGACCTGGAGCACACAGCTGGGGGCTGCTTCCATTCAGGTCAGTTCCCACTTTGTGTTTAATGTCAATGACAGGCGTTTGAAAGAGACAATTCATACACGCCAATAAAAGTGAGTGGAAAAGAAATGGCTGCTTAAAATGTCAAACTCTTTTAAATCAAAACAAACAAACAAACAAACAAAAGCCCCGAATAATTTAATAAGTGGCATCTGCTCTTTCGTTTTTGTACTCTGAAAAGTGTGGCTTCTTTTGACAACTGGAAAAAAAAGTTGACATTTATGTCTGTGCTTGAAGCTTTATTGTTAAGACAAACAAACAGACAAACAAACTATTTGAAATGGAACTTAGCATCTTTTAAGGAGAAAGGGGAGGTACACTGGTGACATACAGCAATGGATTTTTTTTCTCCTTCATACTGGGGTTAGGATAGGCTTTGCCATTTTATTGGTAGCACTAATCTGTTATCTTTGCTCATCAAAAGTTCTGCGTGGCTGTTTTTCACTTCATGTACAAACGAAATATTATCATGGGCAGAATTATAAAACGGAACACTTGGCTTCACAAAAGAACTCAGACTTATTTCATAAATGTGGGTTAGATAAGAAGGGTGGCTGAACTAAAGACACATTCATTGTTTCTGAAAATGTAACCTGCAGTGTATGAACTAGTCTAGGTTCTTAGAAACTGCCTCTTTTGACACAAAGCAATATGGGTTTTGTGTTGAAAAGTTATAAGTAGACGATGTTTGTAAGAAGTCAGGATGGGAATCCTATGGACCAGAATGCAAAAATAAGTGGAAGACTGTGAATGAAGCAGTTACAGCCAGAGTAGGAAATTCAGCATGAACTCAGGGGATACACATGATCCTTTTTTATGAGTGATTTTCTTATTTGCTCAAGGCTTCAATTATAAACTAAGTGATAATAAGTTAGAGTGTTTGGATTCTGAAGCACTGAAATGAATTCAGAATAAAATTACAGCACCCATACACAGTTGTGTTATCTTTGTAGGTGATTTTTCTCTTACACTTGACGAAATTTCAACAACAAATGTCCACTAAATAGTATTAAGAAACTGGTATTATTGTAAGTTTTTAAAAGTAGCTCACCACTTTGAGGATTAAAAATATGATGCTTATTCAAGGACCAGCCTCCTAGGTTAGATGCGTCCATCTCAAATCCCTGCAAAACCACTGTCCTTTGTTCCCAGAGAATAAAGTCAGGGCACATCTCATATTCATATCCCACAGACACTGCAAGAAAAGAGAATTAATAGCATATTAGAATATTGGAAAATATTTACTTCCTGTTCACACTGATTGGTAATTAGGTTGTTACTGTATTTGCTAGTGATTTCTGATTTGGTGTGAAATTTAATAGCAAATGTCATTCTCCTGGCATAGTCAGGAACTGTACTTAGAATGGCATTGGCTCTCCAAAATGACCAATCAGTGAAAACTGGGCACATATGTGAAACATTAAATAAATAGATGCTCCCAAAGATAGGCACCATATACAAATGAACATTCAATTTCATTCTGGACTTTCTGATTAAATTCTGATCTGCAAACCTGAAGAGATATGCTCTTTGAGAATTAAGTGTATGTGATGAAGAAATTCCTCTCACTACTTATAGAAGTATGGGAAAAGCTGGTTTCTCACTTCTGTAGAGTATAAAATGCATCCAGGACACGGACTTTGGAGTACAGTACACTTATACAACACTTGAATATATATGAAACTAATAAAATTGATTCAGTCAATTCATATATTTTCTGTACCAAAGCCTTTACTGAGATGTCTGAGTTTGCTTGGAGTGTTGCAAGCGTAAATTATACTTTATGTATATTATGCTTTTATTTCTGCATATAGAGTACCAATGGGACATCACTCAGGCATTTGGCTTCAACTCCTATGAAGCACAGATGTTGTGCATTAAATGTGGAACCCTAGTATGCCTCTAAAATGGGAAGTGCAGAATGTGCTATCTTGGATGTCTCTGCCCTACTGAAATATGCATAGCCCAAGCAAACCAAGTTGTAGCCATTTTCTCAGTTGGTGAACCTGCTTACCTGTCAGATTCCTAGATTTCTGCTCTATGAATTTCCAAATGCTTTCTATCTTCAAAATGTTGTAAGCCTGAGAGGACTGACTCATTACACTGCACATCCCAAAGGTGCTTTTGCCTCTCTGGCAGCTTAAAATAGACCCAGTTGGTCTGTCTTCTGATACTGCTTTCTAGTACCAACCTCTACCAGATCTTTAGATGTCCTTGGAGAGCTCAGTTCCTCCTTTGCTGTTCAGTTATAAAAATTACTAAAGAAAACAGGTGCTTAAGCAATAGCAGTATAAGGGCTCAAAAATGAAAAATGAAAGTAAACTAGTTTTGGTTACTGGCACTATCATGTCATCAGAAAATAATTAAATTGATTTGCTTGTGTAGGTGTAGTTAAGAGTTTAAATGCAGATATGTCCAAACATCCATAAGATTATACATATACTACTCTCTAATTTTGTAATTATATATCCAATTTGAAGTAGCCCCTTAACACAACAATGCTTAGAATCACAATAGTTCTCACTGGGTGTGGCTTATGATTAGAAGGGGCATACAGATTAAGATTGCTGTTCCTGTTTTGAAAATCTTTAGTAGTTTTTAGGGAAGGAGATGTGTACTTTTACTTTTGTTTCACTGGGTTTCACAAATTCTATAACCAGTTCTGATGACATTGCAGTACTATCAGCTATCAGCTGGTTAAGACTCATGGAAATTCATTTTTTGGTATGTATATATGTTAGTGTGTGTTTACATATGTGTGTAGTCCAGAGATTGACATTTGGTGTGCCTTTATCAGTAGCTCTCCACCTCATTATTTTAAAAGTTTAAAAATTTATTTGTTTGTTTGTTTACTTGTGTATACACGTGCCTGTTCCAAATGTGCATGTTGGGGTTAGAGGACAACATCTGGGAGTCAGCTCTCTCTTTCTGCCATGTGGTTTCCAGTCATCTAACTCAGGTCACCATTGCCAGTTAAGCCACCTTGCTGGCCCCACCCTTATTTTCGATGATGGAAGCTCATAAGTTTAGCAAGACTGGCTGACTAAAAACCCAAGGATCTTCTTTTTTTTTTTTTTTTTTTTTTTTTCTGCAGTGTGAGTTTATTGGTATCTTTCCAATGAAGTTGGAAAACTGATACATTTTAAATTTGTTTCAGTCTCAACAAATATCCTCAAAGTGGGGACACTAAATATCTTTCACTTCATTTCATTGTCCTGAGAGAGGTACATTACCTCTTTCCATACTCTATATTATTCATTTGGCTTATATTTATACATATATATAGGTTTAACTGAAACAGGACTTCTCTGTGTAGCCCTGGCTAGCCTGGAACTCACTCTGTAGACCAGAATGGCCTTGAACACAGGGATCCCCCAAGGATCTTCTTATTTGTGACTTCTCAGTTCAGGGATTACAGATACATGCCCTCACACCTGTCTTTATGCCCTCGATCTACTGGTCCATCGCCCCATTTGTGCAAACTCATGTTTAATTTTATTCCCTACTAAGCAACATTGTCAAGATAGATCAGTGGACAAGGATAACTACTAATCGTAAAGTGAGAGTAATCTCTAAATGGAAATTATTAGAGGGTTATGTGTATGATGCTGGTTTCTATGAAGATGGGTGTGAATAGGATCTCTCAGCTAAAAGGAACCTCAAAGGTAATCTCTGGTTGCTGACTCCAATCTTCCTAATATCATAGCCCCTCTATTGGCTAAAACAATTGAGAACAGTTGATTTTAGGCCAAGAGAGGAAAAAGTTTGACTCTCAGATCTGCCATTAAGTAGCTTGGGGGTCTCAGGCAAATGGAAGAAGGCCATTAAAATTGGTCCTTATGTCATTATAGATTATGAAATGTTTATTGTGAATCTTGTGAACAATGTCATTGATAGTCTTCCTAGAAAAGTACAAATATACACAAAATTTTGTGTGCCTATCTAGGTGTTTAGTTGTCTTACTATCCAAATAATACTTATGGATTGAAGACACATGTATTAAATAATTCCTTCTACTTCCCCTTCATCATTAACACTATATGATTCTAAATTGCACTCCTTTTGCACGGTATTTGGTAAATTCAAGTTTCGTATTAAACTTACAAGCCAAATAGCACAAGGTGTCTCATGTTGGAAAGGTCAGGTGGTTAGAGAACACATTAAAAAACATGTTGGTGCACAGAATTACATGATTTCTGCTTCTCTTGTCAAAGTTTAAAAGTCTTGATAATAAATAATCATGACAACAATAATTGCCAGTTCCTTTAAAGCCATCATCTTGTCCCCACAGTATCCCTGGCAATTATGGGATCTGCCTTCTATACATTGGAAGCCTGGTAAGCAGCCCTTGAATCCCTTCTCCGGAAGGTGATTGTGTAGTTTTGCAAATTAGTAGTGTGCCTTGGTGACCTCTGATGATGGCGTGGAGCCTGCTTTTTTCCCTCTTGGTTATAGTTAAAGATCATCCTAACTCGGCAGCAGGAAATGCTTACATAAAGCATCAATTAAACAGTTCTCAATGCGATGGTAATAAGAGACACATACTCTTTTCACCTTCTTCTATCTGCTCTCTGAATTGCTCTCCAGTCCCCAACAAAAAAGTGCATTGGCTGCAAACCCTACAATTATATTACTATTTTCTCCCCAGTCACAGGAAATAGCAACAAAGCAACCACTTAATAAGTTCCCTCTAATTTTTATTAGATTTACTTTCTCCTGAGAAAGCTCTATGAGCTAATAAAGGTATAATTTATACTTAAGACGTGTCCAAAATTCCAACTGACTTTAGTGAGAATGGCTGTGTATTGCTGTATTGTTGTGTACAACTCCTTGCTCACAGTAACAAGGCAAGGTTTCTTTCTGACATTAGCCCACTTTAGCACACTCCTGGAACTTACAATTGGCTTCTGAGAGGAAAAGTTTCTCTCCATGATGTTGAACTGCTCTCCAAATGCAAGGCGACTAGCTAATGCAATAACAGCTAAATATTCAACTTCATCCCAGGTAAGCAGACCGAAATGCACCAAAGTCCTAGTGTTTTGTATAATTAAATATAGGAAAGGTGGATTTATATTGGATCCAGTGCTAAAAATGCTATGCCTTAATACAACATTCTGCTCAATATCATGACAGCTGCCATGCTAAGTAAGTAGAGTGGACCATGACCAATTTCTGGCCTATTCCCTATAGCATTTGATCATTAACACAATGTTGTATAAGTCACAGAATCAATCTCTGGCACTCTGGAGTAGAGCTAGGAATACTAGTATAATAAAATCAAACAGTGTTTCAGAAGGACTGTAGAAGTGTTTTAGACTGGCAGTGAGCAGAGATAGGTAGACAAAGGGTCATGAGCTATACTACACAGGGCCCCATTATGGTATAAATATATTGGGAACAAAATTGAAAAAGAGTCTATATGGAAGAATACTTTCTGTGTGTCATGTGGCACCCTTTTTTGTGATACCCTTAATTACATCTAGAGTTCTGTCTTTCTGTATTCTTTGTCTCACATTCATGCAAAGGTAATATTTGCTAAAGAATATTTGCTAAACATGAGTCACTGATTGGCATGGTACACATACTACTTTTTCAGGGGGCTGTGTCTTCTGATCACAGGGCCACATCTCATCTCTGAATTCATTGTTAGTCTTCTTGCAGACCTTACATGGGCATATAAAGAAGACTAAATCAAAAGACTAGCTTGTTCTCTTGGAAGGATTAGAAAAAAAGCCCTCTTAATGTTTATTTTACTTATATAGGCAGCATTATTGTTATCATATGTGGAATATCAGAAGGCTAAGAGGACACACCGTCCCCCACATCCAGTTTAAGGACTATACCATTCATCTATAATAGCTAGTATAAGGGATTGACATTAGATAGCCAAGGTAAAGATACAATGTAACAAAGCTGATGTGTGAACTATGACAAGATTAAGCAGATGATTTTTAATAGTTTTGGGCAAAGACTTCAAAATTCATAATGCTTACATTTAAGAAAGTAATATATAATTAAAGTGGATAGTGGAAAAATTGTGCTACCTTAATGAAATCAACATATATCTAAAAATAATTTGAAGGCATTTAAAAAATACTAAGAAAATGAGAATTTTTTTTCTTCAGAATAAGCCTTCAATAAATAGGACAATAAATATTTCCCATTAAAACTATACTAATGCAAAACTAGAAAATG